GGGAGGAGCGTGGCAAAAATTTTACCAGAAATACGTCATTAATGACCGTGTCATATAGACTATTGCCCCTCGGGGATAGTAAAGTTTTACTTGACTTGATTTTACATGCAGTCCGGAGACGTAGAGAAAGTAATGCATTTCTTTTCACGTTATGGGATTACCTGAGAAGACGCCAACAGCGGGAGGCGGTTCCAGCTGCAGTCGCGGCTGCACTCGCTCTGGTACCGGGACCGGTTTCGGACAGACAGCGGGAACAGCTGATCAACATGTGAGGTAAATGTTCGCTACGTCAGACCTGATTTGAAAAATGTGTTTCCATCTCTTTTTTGCYCATTAACTCTTTTTCGAAAAACCCAAAAACCACCTCAAGCGAGCGTATCAACTTTGATGCGAATTAGAGAAAGTTTTTTCGAATCAAGCCGTTTCCATCCACCTTTTCTGATGCGATACTTCAAAATGTGCATTAAAAACCTTGATGGAAACACGGCTATGGAATAAGCAACAGATAATGAATGGATGGAAGTTGTGCATTAGCAGTGCTGCACCTACCATTATCCAAGGGGACTCCTCGCTCTGTCAACAGAGCCCAGCACCCTGTCTATCAATATCCCTCCCACCATGGGAGAGAAGATTGTAGCCATTGGACATAGCTAAAACGACTTCGACCCAGCATTGTTAACGTAGCATTACCAGCAATGGAGTGAGCAAATGTGCTGACAGGATGTTGTGGTTGCATAAAAACTTGCCCCAAACAACAAATGTAAAAAAAAAATTCAAAGTGTGAGAGCATTCCAACAACTCTGGTAAGTGACAAAAATWGCTGTGAAGGAGGAGCCTTACTTTTCCAGGAGGACGGGAGGTCTGGTCATGAGGGTGATGCGTCTCCAGTACCAGATCATGATGATGAGGATACTGGGRGTGAGAAAAGTCTTCATGGCAAACCAGACCTGGGTGAAGCCTCCATTCTGATGGATGCTCTTGAATTAAACATAAACATTGTCAAATGTTTGTGATGTACATAATATTTTTAACGCAGACCATCAATCGATATGAAAAGATGGTCGACCATGTGAGTCAGCAATCAACAGCACTTCCTAGAAACTTACAATGAGTTGAATGTCTTTGATTTCTCCGATGCCATCGTTGATCTTCTTCCGCTCAACGACAGGCAGGCGGATGTTCAGTAGATAGTACTTATGAGCCACACTCCCCAGCTCCATGAAGGGCAGAATATCACAGTTGTAGTGACGTCCTTCATTCTCAAGGGTCTGTTGGGTCAGAACAACACAAGACGACATATGAACAGGTTAAAACACATCAAGAACCAACATGATATAACACAGGATATTTTAAATCTCTTCACCTTGACTTCTGGTGATTTTATACAATTTGTTTGGTTTCATTCTGTTCTTTCTTATAGAGCAGTGTTTCAGTAATTCACCTCAGGAAAAGTTAAGACACATTGGAGTTTCCTCTGTTCCAGGGAATGAGCCATCTCCTTCCACTCGCTGACCTTGTCATCTCTGTAGGCCAAGCCAACATCAATGGTAACAACTGCTCCTTCCTCTGAAAAAACAACACATCTTCCAGTAATTTACTTGAAGATCAAATCTTAACAGGCACAAAAAAAAAACTTAAAGCAGGAAACTCCTTGTTGCCCTTCTGAAATAATTTATTAATTAAAGGCCAAGCAGTCTTTGAAGAAATGCATAACTCTCACCACCTTTCGTGCCAAAGTTTAACATAAAGATTATCAGGTAAGAGATCTCGGTTCTAGTTGAAAAATAAAGTTATGCACGATGTCGGGCTCAGAGCATGTGTTGTTAACGAGCTACTATCGCATTAAATATCTGTCAAATAGACTGAGCAATAAACATTGTGACTGTTAAAGTAGATTAGATAATTAAACTGACAATTGTTTATTTTAATCGTTAAGCTGCTTTTTTCTATTTCAAAATAAAAGGAAGTAGAAAAAGGGTCAGCTTGTTCCAAAAAGCTCCAAGGTGTCCAGATAGTCTAGTAGGAAGGTGGGGGTCCCATGCACCCGAAAGATATATTTTTTAACCTAACTTTTTGTACTCCTTAAGGTGTCTAGTAAATGGATTGTGATGGCACCAGAGCAAATTATTGTCCCATATATGTTTTATTGACCATCTTTAATGGCCGACCTGGATTTTCCATTGTGAATAATGAAAACTTTAAATCAACATAGCTCCTGAACTATACATCCGGCAGACACCATTCACACCGTTTTATTTTTGTCTTTTCATGGGAAATTGGTTGAAAAAGAGATTCCTATGATTAGATCATGTTTGATGCATAATAGCTGGAGTAAACACAAACAAATGCTAAAATTCGCCTAAACTGAATCGCAGGAACTTRTCCCCTGTACACACTATTGATATTTTTTGTCAAAGCTTTGTATTTTTATAATCTTCAACATGTAAACACAAGTTGATGATATCCACTTGAAATGTTGTCACTTGTATATTTATTGTGCCATTTTGTTTGCCATCCTGGATTTCCACAAATGCAAAAAATAGAATGTAAAATCAACATATTGGGCCTCATGCAAGAACCGTTCGTACGCACAGATTTGTTCTTAAATTGTGTGTACGAGTGATTTAGGAG